TGCATCCAGGTTCTGGCTATTACAAATAATGCGGCTATGAACATAGTGGATCAGACATCTTTGTTGTATGATTGTGCATCTTTTGGATATATGCCTAAGAGTGGAATTGCTGGGTCTTGTGGTAGGCTGATTCCCATTTTCCTGAGGAATCTCCATACTGATTTCCAAAGTGACTGTATGAGTTGCCATTCCCTTTCTCTACATCCTCTCCAGCATAAACTGTTGTTGGTGTTTTTGATTTTAGCCATTCTGACAGGAGTAAGAAGGTATCTCAGAGTTGTTTTGATTTGCATTTCCCTGATGGTTAGGGATATTGAGCACTTTCTTAAGTGCCTCTCAGCCATTTTAGACTCCTCTATTGAAAATTCTCTATTGAGTTCTGCAGCCCACTTTTTAATTGGATCGTTTGGTGTTTTGGAGACTTGCTTCTTGAGTTCTTTGTAAATTTTAGAGATCAGCCCTCTGTCAGGTAGGATTAGTGAATATCTTTTCCCATTCTGTGGGTTGCCTTTTTGTCTTGTTGACTATGTCCTTTGCTTTACAAAATCTTCTCAGTTTCAGGAGGTGCCATGTATTAAGTGTTGACCTCAGTGTCTGTGCTACTGGTGTTATGTTCAGGAAGCGGTCTCCTGTACCAATTCATTCAAGGGTACCTCCCACTTTCTCTTCTAAGAGGTTCATTGTGGCTCGATTTATGTTGAGGTCTTTGATCCATTTGGACTTAAGTTTTGTGCACATCGATAGACATAGATCTACCCACATTCTTCTACATGCCAGCATCCAGTTATGCCAGCACCATTTATTGAAGATGCTTTTTCCCCCCCATTGTATATTTTTAGTTTCTTTGTTGAAGATCAGATGTTCATACATGTATGTGTTAATATCGGAGTGTTCAATTCGATTCCATTGGTCTACCTTCTATTTTTGTGCCAATACCATGCTGTTTTCAGGACTATAGCTCTATAATAGAGCTTGAAATCAGGGATGATAATGCCTCCAGATGTTGCTTTGTTGAATAGGGTTGTTTTGGCTATCCTGGGTGTTTTGTTTTTCCATATAAAGTTGATTATTGTTCTTTCAAGGTCTGTGAAGAATTGTGCTGGGATTTTAATGGGGATTGCATTGAATCTGTAGATTGCTTTTGGCAGGATTGCCACTTTTACCTACCTATTCAAGAGCATGGGAGATCTTTCCATTTTCTGGTGTCTTCTTTAATTTCTTTCTTTAAAGACTCAAAGTTCTTGGTATACAGGTCTTTCCTTGTTTGGTTAGCGTTACCCCAAGGTATTTGATGTGTTTTATGGCAATTGTAAAGGGTAATGTTTCTCTGATTTCTTTCTCAGCCCTTTTATCATCTGTATATAGTAGGGCTACTGATTTTATTGAGTTGATCTTGTATCCTGCCACTTTGCTGAAGGTGTTTATCAGCTGTAGGAGTTCCCTGGTAGAGTTTTTTGGGTCACTCATGTAAACTGTCATATCATCTGCAAATAATGAAAGTTTGACCTCTTCCTTTCCAATTTGTATCCCCTTGATCTCCTTTTTGTTGCCTTCTTGCTCTAGCTAGAAATTCAAGTACAATATTGAAGAGGTATGGAGACAGCCTTGACTTGTTCCTTATTTTAGAGGAATCGTGTTGAGTTTCTGTCCATATAGTTTGATGTTGGCTGTTGGTTTGCTGTATATAGCTTTTATTTTGTTTAGGTACGTTCCTGTTATCCCTGCTCTCTCTAGACCTTTATCATGAAGGGCTGTTGGATTTTGTCAAAAGCTTTTTTAGTCTCTAGTGAGATGATCATGTGATTTTTGTTTCTCAGCTTGTTATGTGGTGGATTACATTGATGGAATTTTGTATGTTGAACCATCCCTGCCTCCCTGGGATGAAACTTGATCGTGGTGAATGATTGTTTTGATGTGGTCTTACATCCAATTTGCCAGTATTTTATTGAGTATTTTTGCATCAGTGTTCATGAGTGATATTGGTCTGAAGTTCTCTTTCTTAGTTGTGTCTTTGTGTGGTTTGGGTATCAAGGTTATAGAAGCCTTGTAAAAAGAGTTTGGCAAAGAAGACCCTTCTGCTTCTATTGCGTGGAATACTTTGAGAAGAGTTGGTATAAGCTGTTCTTTGAATTTCTGGTAGAATTCTGCACTGAGGCCAAAGACAGATGGTTTTAAAAAGATTCTGTATATGAGTTCTTTGTGACGAAGTCAAGAGCATGAGCTAGGTGTTAAGCTTTAATTAAACACATACAGTTGTTTCATGATAGTGGTTAGGATGATAGAGCATGTATACACAGACAAGGAGTAGTAGTGTGGAAGAAGGTAGTTTCTCTTGAGGTCTACTTAGGGATTCATAAAGAGACTGTGATGGAGTTTGAATGAAGAGCATAAAATGAGCCACAGTCATTTTGAGTTGATGGATATGACTTTATCAGTTTCCATAACTAGTCAAGCCACTTAATTTTTTTAAGGGTTGGTTATTTTATATGTATGTGTGCTTTGCCTGCATGTATGTCTGTGCATCACACATATGTCTGGTACCCAAAGAGGTCAGAAGAAGGGGTTGGACCTCCTGGAACTGTAGTTTTGGATGGTTGTGAGCCACTGTGTGAGTTCTGGTAACCAAACCTGGATCCTCTGTAAGAGCAGCCATTGCTGTTAACTGCTGAGCCTCTTCTGCAGTCCTCAGAACCACTTACAAATTTTAAGAGGAAAATTCAGGACATATAACTCGAACTCATATGTTAGATTCTAGTGTGCTCCTTGTCAAATAGCAGATCTCCTAAGATAAGTGAAATGATGAGTGGGAACAATTTTATTAGTCATAATCTGTTGGCATCATTTATTTTCTCTGCAACAATCTGAACTTCTTGAATCAGAGCCAGAATGGTGGCTGCTATTTAGTTTTTGTTTCTATCCTAGCTGTGGAGTAACTAGATTCAACCAAGAAAAGACACTGTAAATCAGAGCTTTTAGTACTTTAGGAATAAAGTCATTAAGCCTTTCAGGGGTTTTTGAGCAAACCTTAAGCAACAATACTGTTTGCTGGTGGCCTAGAAAAAACAAAAGGAAAATGGCTGTGGTGGTTGTCAATTTTAGAATCACTTTGGAGATGAGCCTCTGGGAGTGCCTGTGGGAATATCTTGAGTGTTGAGATGGGAAGACCTGCCCACTGTGAATGGCACCTGGTTGGAATATTAGATTTGATTTTTTAAAATGATTTATTTATTTTTATGTATACAAGTATTTTGCCTGCATCTATGTCTATGCACTATGTGTGTGCAGTACCTTCAGAGGCCAGAGGTGGGCATCAGATCTCCTAGAACTGGAGTCACAGACAATTGTTAACCACCATGTCAGTGATGGAAATTGAACACAGGTCCTCTAGAAGTGCAGCTTATTCCTTAACTCTGACCCATCTTTCCAGACCTATGGATTCTAGACTTTTTATTTTTAAATTATAAATGCTGGGCCAATAGCTCAGGCTTGTTACTAAGTAGCTCTTTCAACTTAACCCATTTCCATTAATCTATGTGCTGCCCTAAGGTTGGTGGCTTCTACCTCTGTCCCATTTTGTGTGTCCACCTTGTTCTCTGGCTGTTGGTTACATGTAACCTGCAGTTCAACCATAGTTCAAGGCATTGGGTGACTAGAATCCCAGAAAGGTAGCTCTGGACACACCCGTATAGACGCTCATTCCAAGAGCACTCCTTAATCCTCTGTTTTGTGCTAAATGTAGAAGAAACCAAGTGTTAAAAAGTATATTGTTGGCTATGTGTGGGTGTGGTGCTGCACCACGAGCAAGCCTCATGTATCAGGTGAAAACCTGGAGATTTAAATGAAAGACAAGACATCTGACTGTTTGTGCTAAGAGAATGTGTGTGTGTTTATTGCAAGGAGGGGGCAGTCTTATATACAGACTTACAGCACAGTGGAAAAACCCTAGGTGTAAGAGTTTGTGTTTTCATAATTAGAGGTTGATGCCAGTGGGGGCAAGGCCGGGCTGTAAGCCAGGACTAAAAAACAGGATACACATGTGGTTATTGGCTGACAAGCAACTCACAGAGACCCCATGGGGGCTGGGGTCTAACATGTAGGGAATTCTTAAAAATTTGTTTTCACCATTGTAGCATTAGTTTTCTAAAATTTGAGGGCATGTACAGACAGTATTATTTTGAACCATGGTTACAGATAAGTATGGTACAACTATAGCTGCTGGAACCATGGCTCAGACTCACAAGTAAGTGTCCTAACTTTTGTGCTCCAACACAGAGTTCTCCAGGAGTGTCAGTTGTCAATCTCCATAATGAGGACCTTGAAATCAGGGTTATGGAATTATGTTTTGAGGTGAAGTGGTAGTAAAGATGGTGTTGTGTATCTTAAAACAGGAGACATTGGTGATCTGAGAATGTAGAATGTTAAGAGGATTCTGCTGGGAAACAAATGTTAGGAAAGCTTTATTGTAAGCCTATTTTTCTAGAGGCTTCTGCTTTTATGTTGGTATTCTTGTGTATCTTGAACATTAGAAAGTCATCTTTTGGATGTAATTTGGAAGTGTCAATCATTGGGTATAGTGACAGATGCCTGAAACACCAGCATTTGGGAAGTTCAGGCAGGAGGATTATGAGTTTGAGTCCTGTCTAGGCTACAAAGTGAATCCTTGTCTCACTGAAACAAAATGAGAAAGTACAGTGGGCGGGAGGAAATGGTTATCAGTCTGTATTCCATGCTCTGTGGGTAGCCTCCACATAATAAGGGTTTGGGGAGGGGAGAAAAAACCCAGAGTAGCAAATTATGTCATGTTTCCATGCTTGCTTGGGGAAGGGAAAGACATGGGGAGATTTGTCAGCTGCCCCTCAGCCCTCTGTGGTCTTCTTTTGTGTGGCAGCTTTGCATTCAGTGCAGGTGATTGTGCTAATGTGATACTGAGCACTTTGCACCTGATACTCAGTTTGTCTGGTGTAGCTGGTTCACCCATTCTCAGTTCTTTTGAATTTCAGGTAAAAAGCATCAGAATGAATTCCAGCTTCTGGTGGATCAGGCCAAAAAAGGATACAAGAAAACTGGCAGACTGTCTAAAGCTACAGTAATAAGAAAAGATGGACCTGCAGAGAAGCTGTCATCTGCAACCACGGGTAAGACTAACTAAAACAAAAGCATAGTGAATTTCATTACTTTAAAAAATATTTATTTATTCATTTTATGTATGCATGTACATTTGTGCCTATGTGAAAAAGTCATAGGACAACTTGTGGGAGTTGGTTCTGTCCTTCCATCTGGGTTTCAATGATCAAATTCAGGTTGGCAGGCTTGGTAGCAAGTGCTTTTCCCATTGAGCCATCTAGTTGATGGGCATTCTTTATTAATGTAAAAAGAATATAAAACCATTGAAATTTCCTGAAGTTATTCAGTATTTGAAAAGGGGAAAAGTATTTTTCAGAAAGCTTATTGTACCAGTTATGCTACAAGCTGCAAGATCACACAGTAATCATACAGCCTTTGCATCATGAATAACTTAGAAGAATTAAGGAGTCTTCTAGTGGATGAAACCCATACAAAGATGTACCTGGTGTTATAATGTTGTGAATGAATTGACTGTGTCTTGCTGTAGATTCTTCCTGTAGCTTATTCCTTTCTGTAACAAACTTGGGATTTACGTCCCAAAGTTTAGCACCATTTGATCATTTATTGGGAACAAATTTTTTCTGTGTATTTGGAGTTTGACTGATTACACTCCCTAGCTATGTGTAAATACATGTTCTCCATTAATTTGTCCTAGTTTACTGATTATATTCCTCAGCTATGTGTGAGACCTGTTTCCCACTCCATTGTAATTGCACAGATAGTTGTTCACTATAAAAAGTAGCTTATTGCCGGGCGTTGGTGGCGCACGCCTTTAATCCCAGCACTCGGGAGGCAGAGGCAGGTGGATCTCTGTGAGTTCGAGGCCAGCCTGGTCTACAAGAGCTAGTTCCAGGACAGCCTCCAAAGCCACAGAGAAACCCTGTCTCGAAAAACCAAAAAAAAAAAAAAAAAGTAGCTTATTGCTTGCTTTGGAAACAGTGGAAGAATGTCTTGAAGTGATGACCTCTGAAGTCTGCCTGCCTTGTAGTTAAGTATTCTAAGCTATGTGATTGCCTATGTGTGAGGATATTTTCTAGATGTGAGATTTATTACTGAAAATCCTAGGGCAAAGAGAATTATTTTTGTTTCAGAACTCTGATGGCAGTGCATTTCAGTTCTCATTTCTCCACATCCTGTCAGCACTTGATAGTTTTCTTTGATGTGGAAACCATCTTCTAGGTGTGTGTTTCCTTGTTGTAGAGATCATCTCTATTAGTCAGATTCTTTAGAGGAACAGAACTGATAGAACACACACACACACACACACACACACACACACACACACACACACACACACACACACACACACTATTTGTTAGAGTGGCTTACAGGCTGTGGTTTGGCTAGACCCAACAATGGCTGTCTCCTGATGGAAAGGATAAGAATTTAGTAGTTGTTTAGTCCAATTAGTTCAACTAGTCTTCAGCCTGTGGTGGAATCCTCAAGAAGTAGGTCCTAATGCTTGTTGAGAAGTGTCTCAGCAACAGGGTTGATGAATTTGCAAGAGAGAGTGACGGCAAGCAGGCAAAAAGCAAAAAATTTGCATTTCATCATTTTTATAATGTAGCCTGCCACCAGAAGGTGTAGTCCAGATTTAGGTTATATCTTTGTCCTCAAATGATCCAGTAAGAAAATACCTCACAGGTATGCCCAGATACTTGGGTTTTAGTTGATTCCAGATGTGGTCAAGATGACAACCAATGTATCCATCATACCATCTTACTAGTTGTGAAGTGATATATCATCATGATTTCATTTTCCTAGGAAGTTGAGTGTCTTTTCATATACTTATTGGCCATCTGTTTTTCTGTTTTAGAATGTATTCAAGTCCTTTGTCTACTTATTAATTGGACTGTTTGGGTTTTGATTGAGTTTTAGGGATTTCTTACTATGGACATCAGTCCTTCATTGTATATATATGATGTGCAAATATTTATAGACACCCTTTGTTGAGTCTTTTGCTTTCTTTATAGTACATTTTCATGTACAAAACTACTTAATCTTTTATTATGTCCAGTTTTTTCATTTATTGCTTCTACTTTTGGTGTTATATACATGAAGTCACTGTCAAATTCACTGTAGTACAAATTCGTTCATTTCCACAATTTCTTCCTAGTATTTTGTAGTTTCACCCCTTGTTTTTTTTTTATTTTTTTAATTTTGGGTTTTTCGAGACAGAGTTTCTCTGTGGCTTTGGAGGCTGTCCTGGAACTAACTCTTGTAGACTAGGTTGGTCTCGAACTCACAGAGATCCATCTGCCTCTGCCTCCAAGTGCTGGGATTAAAGGTATGCGCCACCACCACCTGGCTTCACTCCTTGGTTTTAAGACTTGGTCAACTTTACTCTTCTTTTTATCCAGAGTATAAGATAGTGTAGATGCCCAGTTCCTCACTTTTATTTGTTGAAGTCTTTTGCCATAAAATGCTGCTGATACTCCTATGAAAAAACCAGCTCATTTGGTTGGGTGCATGACATACATTTGTAGGAATAAGAGAAAGGAGGATTATGTGTTCTAGGGCATCCTTGCCTACAGAGAAAGAATCTATTTCAAAAATAAAAAGAAACAAAAAAAAATCAGCTAACCATATAAAGGTTTATTTTTCCTGTCCTTACTCTGTCTGTTCCATTGGTCTGAGAGTTTGTCCTTATGCCTGGTTTCATTTTGAAGTTAAGTGTGAATCAATTCAATTTTAATCTTCTTTCTCAATACTATTTGGCTATTTAGGACTTCTTGAGATTGAATGTGATTTTAAGATGAATTTTTCTTTTTGTAAAAACCACTATTGAGATTTTTATATTGGATTACATTGACTCTATAGGTAGCTTTGGGTAGTATTGGTATCTTAGCAATATTACATGTTCTAATTCCTGAACATGTGGTATCTTTCCATTTTAAACTTCTCATAGCAATTTCACAGCTTTCAGTAAACCAAGTTTTTTTTTTCTTATTAAAGCTTTTTTCTAGAATATTCCTAAACATTTTGTTCTTTTGGGTGTTTTTGAACTCCTTATTGCTGTCCTCAGATCTCTTGGGGGTGTTTCAGATGTTGGATTCTGCCTTACCATATACCTTATGATTTTTTTGAGCAATTTGAATTTGTTCATGCAATTGTTAAAGGATGTTCTTAGACACTGGTTTAGTTCTTAAGAACTGGGCTCAATACTTCCCACTATGTGAACACTTTTTGTGTTTTCAGTCTCTCATATAATCGGTTGCTTGTGTTTAGAGATTACGTCTTAGGTGTGTGTATACTTACGTACTATAGTCTCTGGGCTTCAGAAGTAATTGATATTGTCTGGCTGTTGTGGGTAAAAAGGATGCCTAAGAGGTAAGACATGTGAAAAGGGAAAGCAGATTGAAAAGATGGATTTTGTGTAGTGTCAATGGTGAGTGTAACTGATGTCCTTTAAACATTGAACTGCCCTGTAAATGAACAAGATGCATGCGTTTTCAAGGAGGAATCTAACTTGCTTTTGTTGCTTGTCTTAGGGGAAGTCTGTTGTTTGAGCCTCACATTCAGGCTATTTGGAGCCCTGCATTTCAAGGTTTAAGGGGAAGGCAGGAAGGATAGCTGACTTTTAGTGCCCACAAATTGTAGGATGATGTTTATCTTTGATGGTGTTTTATCTTCTCTAAGCTAATGTAAGAGAAAAAGAAAAGCAGAGTGTAGTCACAGTGCAAAAATCCATTCCCCTACTCATTGCATGCTACAAGCAGCAAGATCACACAGTAATTAAACAGCCTTATTTCACAGGTCAACCCACCGGAGTGAAGGATTTTGTGTGAAGGATTTAAATCAAAACATAAGGCATGTTGGAGTTATAGCCTTGTGAATAAAGTGGCTATTTCTTACTGTAAGAATTCTTGTTGTAGCTTATGCTCATCTGTTACAAACTTGGGATTTATTTCCCACAGTTCAGCACTATTTGATCATTTATTGCACAGTTTCCCCTATGCAGTTGGAGTATATTGATAACATTCCTTAGCTATGTGTGAAACCTGTTTCCCACCACCAGGCCTCTGTTCCTTTCTCCAGTGTAATTTCAGGATCTGCCTTCCTGAAATTATCTTTTTTACTGGCAGGCATTTGGTCTTTAAGACATTCCCAGATATTCAAGGACATAGAATTACTACATACCTAAAACTGGTGATTCGTAGCCATTTAGATGCATAGAAAAAAACATGCCCTGGTTTACCTCACTGGCATCTGTGGTAACTTAAAGAAAAGCAGTAACCTCAACTAACTCTGCACTAAAAGATTCTCAAACTTCTTCCATTTACCTTTATCCCACTTTATTAACCCAAGATCTTAGTTCAGAGATTTACTGCTCATGTTTTCCCTGAGAAGATGACAATAAAGGTAATCAGCCGATTTGCTCATCTCAGAAAAAGTGACCTTTCTGAAGATTTGTGCCACAGTCATGGCCAGAGCACTGGAAGGTACCAGGTTCCATTTATTGTGCAAATTAAACTTAAATTCTCTCCTCTCTTTGTTCCACAGCCTTAAAGCAATAGGTGCTATCTTTCGATATAAAAAGCTTCTCTTAGCAGCAAACCACAGTGAAGGTGCTACAGCATGCTGCATCTATTTCCTCTGCTGTTTATGCAGGCTGCCTAATTACCGCCCTTTGCTTACCTCATCCATTGGAAAAATGGTGCTTGAAAAGTTTGGAAGGGCACATGGACAAAAGACAATTTTACCTTTCTCATAAGACCTGCTGATCAATAAAATTTTAGCTTAAATACCACACTAAAAGAATATAGATAACCACATGATTGATTTCTCCCTTTAGACTCCCTTCTTGGTTTAATCCTTAGTTGACCCCACTGAGGAGGCTTTACTAGCCATGTCACTTCTAAATGAGAACTGACAGTTATTGCTTTGTGTGTAAATCTTATCTGTCTTGCTGTCCCTGAGAAATTCAAACCTTACATCGTATTGCCAAAAAGAAGTACTGTTGCAAATGTATATATAACCTCCAAAAACTTGTGTAGAATATTAAGAGAGACATGGATAGAAAGATCATGTTGTGAGTAGGTTCTTTTTTCCTCAGAGTTTTGTAGTTCCTTCACTTATTGTAGCTTCTGTTTTTGAACCCTGAGTGAAAAAGCTTTAGAAGCAGGCCTTCTGAAGTTTTCAGTGGTTCTGTTTATAAGAGGAAGTTCTGAACCTTCTAGAAAGTCACTTGTTAATGCCCTTCATCTCTCCCTGATGAACGCCAGAGGGTGTGACTCTGTCTTGGTCATAGTAGTTTATTGGTACTCAGGTAACATTAGGAGCTTACACTGGTGATGAATGCTGTCCTTCTGCATAACCAGCATCGAGGGTCATTTCAGAAAACATTTGAGTATATGAACTTGGGAAGGTAGTTTTGTTTTTAAAGAATTTGTCCTATTCAATAAATTTTCTCTGCTAACAAAACTTTAACAGTTGCTTTTATTTATTCATTCATTTTCTGAATTGTCAGGATAGCACAGATGAAAATCCCCACAGTGTTGGCACATACTGTAAAAGGGAAAGTCCTAGGTAGCAGACATTCTGGCACTTGCACTTTTATTATCAGATATTTGGCTATGCCTGTATGCCATATTCTTTCAAACCACCCTGAGGTGTTCCTGTATCTCCATATCTTTATAAAAAGAAACTTTGAAAACAGAATATGAGAAAGGATGTTCAGAAATGTGACATGTGTCAGATCAAATTGCAAGATTCCTATGTCTGATTGGTTTTTCTTTTCCTTCTAGTGAGTACTTTATTTAACGGGTTTAGCAGTGTCCATAGATGTTTCATACTATGTCGTGTGACAAATAGTATGATTTCCTTATTAGTTGAGTCTGTTTTGTTAATTTGTCACTGTTCTTTGATTTTGGAATATGCAGCTATTCCTTAGTAATCTGCTAATAGAAGCTTCTTAAGAATGGTGAGGCATTCCCATCTCTGGTTTTAAAGAAAACTTTACTTTTAAGTGAATTAATCCTGGAAAACATAAATACGATAATTAGTATCAATTAATTGTCATTTCTTATTTTGCAGGTTCAGTGTTCTTTTACTTTTATTTTTAAAGTAGAAATAACAATATTAAGTGTTAAAGAAATATAGGGGTGTGCATTTTAAGGTCCTCTTTAATTTTTTAAAAAGTTTTATATTTCCTTGTTAGGACAAGAATGTAATGTGAACTTCTCCGATACAGTCTCAGTAACAAACCACTTTCTTCAGTCCAAACTGGAGTCCCCTGGACAGTTGGAGCCTGAGAGACCAGATGATTCTTCTAGTTGTACTGATATTCTTCTCTCCTCAGAATCAGATTCGTGCAATAGGTAAGAAATGTGTAGAGAGTGGTTCTTTTACATTTCTACTACTGTCATAATCACTTTCCTGCTGCTGTGACAAGCTTCCTTGACAAAATCACCTTTAAGGAGAAAGGGTTTATTTTGGCTCACAGTTCTGAGGTACAGGCCCCCCTGGGAAGAAGATCATGGTGGCAGGAATTTGGTGCAGCTGGTCACATGAACAGTTAGGAAAGTGCTGGTGCCCAGTCACTTTCTCCTTTTCATAGAGTCCACAGCCCGCGTATAAGAAATGGTCCTGCCCACTCCTGGGATGAGTCTTCCAATCTTGATGAACCTAAGAGATGAACTCTCTTAGGTGTGCCTGGAGGCTTGTCTTCTAGATAAGTCCAGATTCTGTCAAGTTGACGCTCAGCACCTCTAGACCAATGGTCCTCTGCCTTCCTAATGCTGTGAACCTCGTGCTTTGGTGACCCCTCAGCCATAACATTATTTTGTTGTGACTTCATAACTATAATTTTGCTACTCTTATGAATTTTAATGTAAATATCTGATATTCAGGATGTCTGCTATATGGCTTCCAAAGGGGTTGAGAACTGCTAATCTAGAGGAGTGTGGCATGGTCCATATCAGTTCTCTTTCCTTTCTGTTTATTATTTGGGTCATCTTCATTAGTGATAGCAAGCTGGGATGTGGGAGGGTAGTTTAGTGATCATACAGTGACTTTGTTTTATTTTTTCTCCTTAGAATTGGTAGAGCAACCATGAAAGGCAGTGAGGTTTTTCTTTTCTTTGTTTTGTTTTGTTTTGTCAAGAAAACACATAAGGGGTTGATCAGAAAAATAGTGCACACAGGAAAGAGAAATTTTTAAGTTACCTCAATGCATTGGATAGATTGGGAGGATTAAAGCAATTTAGTGATGGGAAATTTTGAAAATGTTAAATATATAATTTTTATTTCATTATGAGATATTATTTTATTACTGGGTATTAAACCTACGTAGGGCCTTTCACCTAGGGTAGCCAGGAGAGGACATTGAATTATGTAACTAGAGTTACAGGTGGTTATGAGCCACCATATGGGTACTGGGAACCAAACCTGGATCTTCTGCAAGAACATTTGTGATCTAACTGCTGACCCAACTCTCCAGTCTTCAAAAAGTTTTTAAAAAATAAATTTAGACCTAGATTTATGCACATCATAATTGGTTATATGTGTGTGAGTATGTGTTTATACATACATACAGACACCCATGGCCCAGTAAGATTCTCTTACTGTGCAGCAGTGTGTAATGTGGTATTAATGAGGTATATTCATAAATGGTAGTTCTTTATTTTCATTAAAAATAAGTTTTTTTTTGCAGAATCTAGTTAAGAAAAATGCAACTATAGAGAGACTCATTACATTTTTGTTAGTGAATCATGTATCATGGATTGCCTGTTAAATATTTAAAGCAGTGAAAATAGTCACATCATGTACCTTAAAATAAATGGAAGAAATTTCTTTGAGACAGGGTCTTTCTAGGTATAATCAGGCTGGTCTTGAACTGGATAGATCCGCCTGGGTCTGCCTTCTGAGTGCTGGGATTAATTTCATAGTAAAATTGAAGACTATATCAAAGTATGGGATTTTATTTATTTTGTCATGTGTGTGTGTATGTGTGTGTGTGTGTGTGTGTGAGAGAGAGAGAGAGAGAGAGAGAGAGAGAGAGAGAGAGAGAGAGAGAGAGAGAGAGAGAGAGAGAGAGAGAGAGATGTTCAGGTACCAAAGGGAACAAAGGCAAGGGAGATGGGAATACAAAGGCAAGAATACTGGAGTATTCTGTAGTGACTGCATTGAGATCTTCTGCAACCCTAAAATTGTGTTATCCTTTTACTTTTGACAGTATGGTTGGTTGGCAAGTGAGTAGAATGTTCATCTACTACTTAGCCATTGAAGGTTACAAAAAATCTAGAATTTTATTTATTTCTTTTGTAGTGAAATGTTTGTATCTTTATGTTTTGCATTTTTATCAAAAATTTTAACCCTTTTTATGACCATTTTGTTGTATTATATGCTTTTATTTTGAAGAATCTCTAGGTTATTATTTTGAAAAAGTGGTTTTTATTTTTATTTGTTTTTCTTCAAGACAAGGTTTTTCTGTTTAGCTTTAGCCATTCTGGAACTCACTCTGTAGACCAGGCTGGCCTTGAATTTAGAGATCTGCCTGCCTCTGCCTGCTGAGTGCTAGGATTAAAGATGTGCAGTACCACTGCCTTTCTGAAAAAGTATTTTTTTAATTGAAAGAGACGCTATCTTTTGGCATGATTGGTGAAATAGGAATAAGGTCTTCAGATTATGCTACTATAGCATTATTCAACTTCTTGATTTTGATAGTTATGTGGCTCTGGTTACTGTATGGATTGCTTCTTAAGAAAGGCACACTGACATATTAAAGAACATTTCCTGCAATGCCCTAAATTAAAAAAAATTGCTTTAAAAATATTATGTATGTGTACTGTGAAAAACAGAAAAGTTGAATTAAAGGAATAAAGTTTCATAATTTTGTTAGCTTGAAATAACACTATTTGTAAATATGCCTTCCACAGATAGATAAATGGGTTCTTTATTATTATTGTTTTTTAGCAGTAGGACCATGGTATTTTTAATACTTTTCTTTGTCAGGGAAATGTCTTGATGTTGTGGGTCTACTGTGAGTGGAAACCTGTGAATTATCTTTCTTTACAGCCTTGCTATTTTACACAGTACAGAGCTGAACATACTGAAGAGGTTAGTTTTCTTTGCGTTAGAGTAGTATTCAAGCTTATATAACATGGAAGATTGACACCAAAGAACAATCTTAAGATTTGGTGTGTGTAACCCATCCAGATAGTTAGTTATTATATTAAAGTGGTATTATTGTTAGTGTAACTTGTAAGTACTGCTTTTAGCAACACTTTATTAATACTATATTGATCTTCTTTTGGCAGCTTGAAAACATATGATAAGCAGATTAATAAGAATTTCAGATTGTTGTTCAGTTCTTGCTAGATGATTTCCCAGAGTTCAAGAGACTTGTCCAACTTTCTTTAAATTAACTTATTGTTCTCATTAATCAAGAAAAGAGTGCTTTTGTGTGCTGATTCTTGGCAAACCACGGACACTGCATTTTTATTGAAGGCTAAATTAGAAGCAAAGATGCTGTTGATTATGACCCTAGACAAGAGAGACACTATCTTCATGAAGAAATGATTTGTGAATTGTGTCATGCTTTTTCTTGGAAGAATCTTTAAATCATTATTTTGGAAAAGTATTTTTTAATTTGAAAGAGACTGTCTTTTGGCATGAGTGGAGAAATAAAAATAGGCTCTCTGGATTCTATTACTGTACCAGTATTAAATTTTTTGATTTATTGTATAGATTTGTTCTTAAGAAAGTCACTGACGGATTAAAGAAAAATGGCAGCAACTTGCTTTCTATGGTTGAATATTTTGTATATGTGTAACAACACAGATAGATGTGATAGACAGTTAACATTTGAAAGATCTGGGGCTTGTAGGTTTAAAAATCATTAAAATTTAAAATCTTCTGAAAAATTTCATTCATTGTGTAATAATTTTGGTTGTTACACTGTGAGTGAAATGGCTGATTTTTCTACATCTAAGACATGTTCTAAAAAGGAAGATACATGCTTTGACAATTAATTTTAAAAGTAGTGTCCATGACTTTACATAGGGTGATGAATATGGTTTCCATTTAATTTGGTCACCCTGGTCAGAGCCTGCTGTGCATGGTTATCTGAGCCAGTGTATTAAAGTGTATGGGCAGTTGTGACTTTTAATGCTTATAAAGATGAGCTGATGTCATGATTCTGTGGTCAAGTTTGTAGTCTGCCCTAACTTAGGTGAGCCTTCCCTCGCATGCTGAGGCTAGGAAATAAAAGGAATCTGAGTCATTAATATGTGAAGGAATAACACTGTAACTTCCAAATCTGGTAAAAAGGAGATGGGGGGGCTTCTTTTGTATTAAGTTAGGAACAGCATCTTTATGAAAGAAATTCCTCACAAGTATAGGCATAGGATGCTGGACCCTTGCCAAATTGCATTTATCTATTGGCTTATATTTTCTAGTTGCACAGAACTTTTCTTCACTTTCATTCATTTCTGAACGAGCTATCTAGAAAACTTGAGATCCAGAGCAGGGGGGAAAAGCAAAATTAAAAAAATTTACCACCTTTTAAAGAAAATGTTAGTTATTAAATTCTAACCTCTTCTGAGGGAAATAGAAAATAATGGAGATAGCTTAAGGAAAAAAATGGCATTGGGTCATTTGTCTAAGGATGATACTGTTTCCATTGGATCTGGGTAAGGGCAGACGAGTACATCGTACATCACTTAGTGAGGGGAATGGGAAACACTTTCTAAGTAGCCAGTGTGCTCTCTTATAGCCAGAAGGGTACAAATGGGCTGTGGCTTAACAATATAAAGCGTGGCTTTACTCAGGCCAAGGCAAGGACTGGTTGGGTACCCCTAATAGTTGGGGTTGCTTAATACATGAGAGCATGATTTTGAGATGAAATTATCAGAGTTCTGGAGTTTTATGATTCAAGAATAACCCCCAGCTTTTATGTTCCTGGTGAGAGCCTCCTGAACATTTCTGTCATGGCAAAGACTCGAGAATAGCGAATCCTTGTTCAGGAAGTAGTGACTATGTGTGCTTGAGCTGATGTGTAACTCGAGTACTGGTAGTGCATTAAGATGTGTAATCTTAGCTCCTTGGAGATGCAGAAATGAAATGGCCACGAGTCAGGGTAGTCAGGAAGTAAGTGGCAAGTCTGATTTAACTCAACTGTTTGACTGTATAGCCCTCAAGGAACCCAGCGTTTTCCCTCTAACGAGAAGTATGTACTTAGCCCTGAGGGAGCAGACCTAACAGGAGGACTTTGATGGGAGTAAAGCACTTGACTTTCCTCTGTATAGAGAGTGGGAAGTGAGGCAGGAAAGGGCAGACATCACTTAGGTTGCATGCCATCAAACTAGAGCCATTATCTG